GCCGCTCTACCATCGGGCTGAAAGCGAATGGCTCGATTCAGTCAGCGGGAAACCAAACCCTCCTCTGTGCTCGCTGCCGTTGGCATAGTGCACTGGCTGACGCCAATACCAGTCTCGAAAGGCGACATCGAGAATTGACGAGCAGGCAATAGGATACAATCACTCAAACTAAATGAATTCCTGCTGAGAATGAAATACGAAGAAAGTTTTGACTTCGACGGGAAACCCGTTTTGATTTCCAGCAGATACTAAAACATCAAAAACCTAGTCGAATGATTCAGCACAACGTCCAAATACCACAGAAACCAAATAATTACTTAAATTTTATGAATTACATTGAAAAAATGCCTACCATACGAGCCCAGATCTGATAGCCCCTGGCCAAACCGAGCACCACCACGTCAACGACACGTTTCCGATCGTTCACTGCAATATTCACATCTGTTCTCAAATAGACGCTGTGATAATTACTTTACTGCAATTAGCTTGTAACTGCTGAGAATTAGCTTCTTCTCAATTCCCAATCTAAAATAACCACAATTATTCGAGTTAACTCTGAATAATCTGCCCTCTTATTTAAACTAGCAAACGTTGATGGAGCTTAAACTTGGCTGGATAAAAAACGGCAGGAAGTTATCCGATCAGGAGGCGCTTTAACATATATTAAGTGCTTGACATATATTATATACACATACATTAATCAGATAAACGGGATGTTTCGGTCCATTAAGTCATATACGTTTTGATATTTTAGTGAGTTTTTCAAAAAAGATGGACTGGTATTTCCTGTACAGTCAACCAAAGGAACTAACCATTGACACATTTCTGCAGGCTGACCCATTCAATTTTCTCCGGTGTTGTCTGTGGATTCGCCGACTGCGGAATTACGTCGTGAACAAGATCCGCCATCGAACTGACCAGAGTTGCTTCCCTAAACAGAACATGATTCATTTGAACCAAAAACGAAGTTGAGGAACTTGCCTCCTCAAAATGACTGGCAACGCCGTCTCATTGAACGAAGATTCCAGAAGTGAGGCAGAAATCGAGTTATATCTGTGTGGCAAATCGAAACTTACGGCACACACTGCGGCTTCACGCACTGTCCCTTTGGATG